TTATCATTCAGGCATTCTCTCATCTTTCCATTAGTGATTTGTTTCACGACTTGAGATTGGCCTTTCATATTAAATCGTCTTTAGCTACAGCAGAAGTTAGCATTATTACTGCTAGCAACATTTTGTACTTTCATCTGAAGTGTTTGCACAGCTTCACCTGTGTTACTCTGAGAGCTGGTGGGATGTGCTGATAAGCAGTAATGGAAAGAACACAAAACCAGGACCTGTAAATAAGAAAAGTGATAGTTCATCATGCCCGAGCCCTGCTTCTTAAGCATTTCAGAAGGTGAGCAATTTGCCCAAGATCAAAAAGTAAGAGTGGAACCAGTTTCAAGAACAGGTGTTCTGTGGTTTGGGGGTCTATACCCTTAATTGCTGCACTTCAATTTGCTCAGGAAGTAGAGGCCTTTTTCCTCTCCCCCACTTGCCTCATGTTTCTGGGTTTCTCAGTAAGCAAAAGTTGTTTGGATTCTATGCCCCTGATTTCAATCATTAACTCGGCAGCATAGTTCCTGCACCATCTTTTTCATGAGAATTAAATAAAAGAGTAGTGGAAAAGACTTCTCAAAAAATGAAGTAGATAATGGGTGTTTATTGTACCCATTTGTTATTATTTATCCTTTTTGTAAAGTATACTAACATTTTAAATGTATTCAACGTTTCATAAAAACATTTTTTAAAAAGTGTTACATAAATTGGATTTGGTTTCACATCTCTATATGTTTCAGTAGGATATTTATGAAGATTTGAAATACTTTATGAAACTATATGATTCAATACAATAGAGAATAAAAACTAAAGGCATAATTCAAAGTCACTTTGGAGAAAAATAGGTTGTAAAATTCAGGCTTCATATGAAAAACAATCCATTACATATTCTGACTCAGTAAACAATTTATAAATGTAAAAGCAAAATAGGATGAAAAAGCAAGGAAATACTTTGGCAAAAAGTAAGAAAACTGAGATAATAGACATTATCTTTCAAGTTACTTGGATGTATTGATATTCTTCGTCTACAATGTATCATTTTTAAAGGTTTCCAACTTGGATGTCATGCAGTAACTTTTTAACTCTGCTACCTAACTTAAAATATTATCAAAATGTTATAGATGTGACATAAAATAAAAGCCCCTTGGGAAAGATTTTTTTTTCCCTCACAGGGGAAAAGGGAAAAGAAAACAAGTTAATGAGAACATGTCATGTGATTTTGATTCTGAGTTTCTCTGAGTTATGTGGACAAATGAATTGTTATAAATTCTGAATAAAGATTGAATTGCTGCCATTACCAGAATGACCTTTTGTTACTCATCTCATTTTTCTTCTCTTCCTAAGAAAGAGTTCCAAAGTGTCTATATCAAACTGCCTTGATCTCTGTCTAGCAATGTCTTTTTTCTATAAAGTTATTAGAAGTTTCTATAAGACAATGGAGTTTAGAGAACTTAAAAGTGACATGAATTCTAAACTAATGTGGAGAACTTCTATTAAAAAATGGAGTAACTGGGTCAGATGTTTTGTCCAGTAGTTCAAATGCTTCCCTCCACATCAGGTTGTCTGGATTCAATTGCTTAACTCCGGACTCTAGCTTCCTGCTAAGGCAGAGACTGGGAGCCAGTGATAAAGGTTCAAGTAGCTGGATCCCTGCCAACCATATGGGAGAACTGGATTAAGTATCTGGCTCTTGGCTTCAGCCTGGCCCATCCAGCCTCTGTCTTGTCTGCCTCTTATTCTATTTCTCTTCTCTCAAAAAGTAAGATACAGATACAGAGATACAGATATTGATATGTTGCTAAATATATGAGTTTCCTAGTGCTTATATCCAAGGCCTGTCTTGGAAGCATATCAACACTTCTTCACTCAGTCTGTTTATGAAACATTTTCCACCTTTCCAGTCACAAAAGAAAATGCTTTGTGCATTTAATTGTAGAGGAGAATGTAAACGCTCTATAGAGCCAAGCAAGCTATTAAATTTTTTGCTTAGAAAATACAGACAAATATCCTAAGACTGAAAATGGTGCAAGATAGTCTGTTTCCTTCCAGGATAGTTATTTCACCTGAGGGTTTACTCAATTCCCAACTTTTCAGTTGCTTTTTATATTAAGTATCAGCCTTAATCATTGACATGCTTAGGACAGCATTTTGACCAGAAAGATTCTGGACTGAAAAGTACTTGTTTCTTGCCACACTGAAACAATTCTACTCTACTATGAGACTCTGAGTACCCTGTAATGGAGATATCATTAGGTTTACTAAATCAAATTACTGCTAATAGAATTGATTGTTGATTAGAGATTTGTCTTGGCTTTTGAATGACTGCAACGGTCATCTGGATAATCCCATTCAAACTAACTGGTTTACTTTTTTGGAGAGAGATGAGGGTAGTGGGTGAAGAGGACAATTTCATTGTTGAAATTTGGATCTTGACCTATTGCAAATAGACCATTTGTGTTTTTAACCATTGCAAATTAAAATACAATTAAAGGACAGTCTTGACCTCTTTTTTTTTAAGATGATATTTTATTTTTATTTGAAAGGTGGAGTTACGGAGAGAGGAGAAATTCAGAGATCTTTGATCTACTGGTTCATTCCCCAAATTGCAGGAAACCAGGAGGCAGGAGTATCTTCCAGGTCCTACACATGTGTACAGGGGCCCAAACACATGTTCCAGCCTTCACTACTTTACCAGGCCATTAGCATGGAGCTAGATCAAAATTGAAGCAGCCAGGGGTTGAAGCTGCGTTCCTGTGGGTTACTGGCATTACAGATGGAGGCTGAGCCCACTATGCCATGGCACCATCCCTCAAACATGATTTCAATAATGCGGTGTCTTTTTCATTTGTTTCCTAAAGGAGTTGATTTGCATTAAATTTGGACAGCTAGAGCCTATGTGGTAACAGAGCAGCAAATCCTCTACCTGCCAGTGCCAACATTGCATATGGACACCAGTTGCTTTCCCGGCTGCTCCACTTCCCAATTTGGCTTCCTGCTTATGACCTGGTGAAGCAGCAGAGGATAACCTAGGTTCTTGGGCCCCTGCACCCACGTGGGAGACCTGAAAAGTGCTGCCAGCTTTGGATCAGCCCAGCTCTGGCCATTGCAGCCATTTGGGGATGAATCAGCAGATGGAAGCTGTCTCTCTGTAACTCTAAGTAAAATAAATAAATCTTTTTAAAAAAATGGGGCAGCTGTCAGTTTCATACTACCAAACACGAGAAATAATGTTATGACCCTTTAAATGAAGTCCCGTTGTAACCTTTTAATAATTAACTACCCCTGCAGTGACATACAAGGGGATACTTCAGAAAGTTCATTGAAAGTGGAATTTTGGTGCAAAAAAATTGAAATATATGCTTTTAGGAATATACAGAATATTCATGGAAAATGTATATTTATGAAAAATTACATGTGCTTCAAATTTTTTTTTGTACCAAACATTTCTTTTAATGCTGATTTCCCTGAACTTTTGGAAGCACCCTCTTATCTGGACATGCAGCCATCTGGGTAACCGACTGCTGTCTAAGACGTGTCCTTATTCATCAATCGATAGTGCTGTGTGAAGCAACTGTTTTTATTTCTTTATACCCCACTTTATTTTTAACTGTAAGAAATGAGAACTAAACTACTCCAGGAATGGTCACTAGCACCAAAATCACAAACATCTTTCATCAATCTAGTCGTAACTTCCATTACTAAATCTACTTTAAAACTAAAGAGCAACCACTATGTATCTGTATATAGCACATTTCCATCTTCATTCCCACTCCACCCAACTTTCCAGATTTTGTGCCTGTGCCTTCCACCACCACTGGGAGCATTTTCTGGCAAGACTCGCTGCATTCACCTCATTCGTTCCCTTAGTTACTCCTTAAAGAATTGCTGAACTTGATCCAATAGCATTTGTTCAAAGGTTCCATTGATAGTGCAGGAGTTGATTTTGTTCTTGAGTGTCTGTAAAGACAGGCTCTGTTGTGAAGGAAGCCTTTTCAGTGACAGAGCAGATGATGACAGAACCCCCTCGCCTTATCAGGAGAAGTTTCTTGACCTCATTATTGCTAATGGATCCATGCTAATTCAGCCTGTTGTGAAAATCTCATGTTCAATTATGCAGGATAATGAGTGACTCAAAACATAATATGTCTCAACTATCGTGCTCATAATGTGGTTTGTACAGCTTCTTTCAAAAGTGAAGGAGGTTTTAGGGAGAGTGGCTCACTTTTATGTCCAACAGAAAGTTATCACCAGTAGTCAGGCTGTCCTAATTTTCAATATCTGATTTGATTTTAACATAAGAAAGGATTACTGTATGACTTTCTATTTCACTAATCCCTCTGTAGGACAGTTAAGACAGGTTTATTCATTTTTAAGTGTTAATTCTGGAATTCTAAAAGCATGCAAATGGCATTTGTCTTTAGATTCACTAAAACTCTAGATATTCAGAGTTTGAATTATTTAAACTCCCACAACACATGCACTTTTGCTTTTCAAGCATGAGTTATAATTTAATTAAAAACTTCTGGTGCATTGCTAGCATTTTAAATATTAATATGTTCCATGGATCACTTTCGATTATCTGCCGTCTTGAAATTCTTGAAGATGTCAGAGTTTTAAGATTCCCAAAGTTGCATTTGGACTTGTCTGTCGAGGCAAAGGGGACTGTGATAATTACACACATCCATTAGGATCAGCAGAGGAGATAAACTTTGGGGAGGCTCAATGGGCATGTCTCAGTGACAGCAAGCAAAGAGCATTTGGCATGATTAAGGATGGATTTGAATGTAGTTGAAAATATACTGTCATTATGGACGCCCAGTGGAAGTTGCACTACAAATGCTAAATTCCCCAGAAGAAGACTGGTGTGGAGGGAGGTTTTGAAATCCACTGTGGCCATCATCCAAATTATTCTCTTTCCTTTATGTCTTTCTGCTGTCAGAATCACTTTGTGATGCCCAAATAAGCTCCCTACTTCCCTGAAAAGAGGCAACCTGTTGCTGTCTGTGTTTCAGATTGTCCGCAGATACATCAAGGACTGGCTGGAGAGGAAGAAGCCCCCCTTCGGTGCCATCAGCAGCAGTGTGCTCCTCATGATCATCTATACCACGTTCTGTGACACGTTCTCCAACCCCAATATTGACCTGGATAAGTTCAGCCTTGTTCTCATTCTGTTCATAAGTAAGTGGAAAAACAGGTTATCCTGGCCTCCTCATCCTCTCCCCAGGAGCAGTGTACAACAATTCGTGTTCTCTAAATTCATCCCTAACATGAATCAATATGCAACTTTATTTACTTGGTGACATGTGTGTGTTCTGCAAAAAGACATCAGTTATGCACTTGTGATCTTAATCTCTTTTGCTTTCCTGTGTCTGATATGCCGCTTTCTGATTTACAGTAGCTGATGTCAGATGCAAGAAACCATACTATCCATCAAATTCAAATGTGACGGATTGAGCACTTCATCACCAATTTAATTTCCTGTATCTTTAAACTGATCTTATCCTTATTGTGATTTAAAAGCAGGTTTTATAAAATCTATGATATTATAACAATTTGGCTACATAGGTTAAAATGTGAATATTTCCATCTTCTTTTCAAATGGAATATACCCAAAGTAATATTTCATCTGAACATTCAGGGGACTATAAATTGCAAGTATCTGCTAAGACTCAGAAGTCAACCTTTTGTTATCTGATAATGCTAAAAACAACTTTTATTATTATATTCATATCAAAGAATGCTTTATTATTGAAATGAAAATGAGTTATTCTGAAGTATTATATGCTACTTCACTTGTGTGACTTGCTGTGAATACTCTTATGATAAACCGTCACTTTCCAAGTGGAACAAATTTCATAACTGAATTTTAAACCCTGAAGAGTAAATTTCATACAATGGTTCTGACGATATTATCAACAAGAACAAGTAGGGTCACTTTAATGTGAATGATTGTATCAGCTTAGCAATATGTATTTGTTTGCTTTATTCATTTGTTGTTTTATTTGAGTTCTCATAATGTTTTAGATAACACTAAGCATATCAGTAAGTGTGTTACAGATGTTGCTTTTATAGTGCTAATTTAGATTCCATCTCTTTTTTTTTTCTTCAGTATTTTCTATTCAACTGAGTTTCATGCTTTTAACCTTCCTCTTTTCCACCAGGTAAGTGATTGATCCCTTATTGCTGTTATTTTCTAAATAAGGAATCACACTCTTTAGTGGGCTATTCTGACACTAAACTGTTCTGGTTTTTTCTCTTCACTTACCACTTGGTCTCATTCTTGACATTTCCAAAAGATTTGTCATTGGCCCTTGTCTTTTTTATCCACATCTGTCCCTAGATAACCCCTCTCCATCCATTGGCTTGAGCTGCCCACATGCTGATGATTTTCAAGTCTGTTCCTTCTACTCCAATGTTTTACATGAGTCCCAGCACTGTTTTGTACTTACTATGTAGATATCTTACTTGACTGTCTTAACAGAATATTAAACAGAATGCCTGGAAAACTTACCTCTTCTTCTCCCCTATTTTTGCTTTTGTTTAATGGAACCAACATCTTTAGGTTTACTCCGCCGGGATCCTTCAAATCATCATTTTTGTGTAAACATCTGGAACCTGGGTCACTAATACTTTTTTTTCTGCTTCCAAATCACTGTGCTACCTTAGATTTTTGTTGTTTATTTTATTCCTAGACCTTTTCAGTGACTGTTTTGTTTTCGCCATTTCTAGGCCAACCTCTCCTATGCATTTCCAACTGGTTCAAGTGCTTCCAAGTTCTGATAGTCTCTCTCGTACTCAGAAATCTTGGATAGGTGGCCAGTGCCTGCAGAATAGAGATTGTGTGGATGGGCTGATTTCAGATCTTCTCCAGTTTGCCCATCTCATGACTCACTTGTAGAATTCATGTTGGCTAAACTTGAGGATAGATTAAAATCTTGGCTGTTGACTGAATGTTCTGCTTTCTCATTCATGTCTCTGTTCTAGGCTGTTCTCATGCCCAAATTGGACTCCCTGACCTCATTTATTCTTCTGAAAGTCACCTCAAAGCCATCTTTATCCTAAAACATTACACATTCTACAAGTGACACTTAAGCTTTTGGTATAAAAAGGTTGCCAAAGTAGGTGCCACAAATAAGAATTGATCCCACTGCTACATGAGTTTATAGACCAGATGTGCGCATTGATACCCAAGTGTCCTCTGAGGGATCCAGTGAGCCAAACTGCCATCACCTCCCAAAAGGGCAGCAGAGCAAACCCTCCTGAATAAGACAGGGTTTGATGTGAGTCATGAAATATAGCTAGCTGTTCAGCAAACAGGGATCCAAAGAGGATGTTCTTTGTAAGAGAAACAGTAATGCAAACAAGGACACATAAATACAAAACAAGACTTGGTGGGATAATAGGAATCAAAGAAGATTACAAATAATGATTGCGCCTGGAGAGGGCAGCTTGTGGCAGATTGCAAGGGCTTTGAACACCAGATGATGGCAATGGGGTCCCACAAAGAGAAGGGCCTAAGTTGTTGATTAAATCTAAAGTGGTGTCAGAGCAATAGGTGTTCCCAGGTCTCCCATTAGGCACTTGGCTACTACAGTGCAGGACTGATTGTAAACAGTCAATAAAAGTGAATTGATTGATGTAATTGGAAGCATTTTCCCCAAGCTTCAGGCTGTGATTTCTGAAGTAAGAGTAAAACCTGGAGCCATTAAGTCACAGAGAAAATTGTAGCTTAATTGGGAAAGTCTGAGAGTAGCAGCTATTTTACAGTTCCTTTTATAAATGGCTTGCTGTGTCACTTTAGAAAGGACATGTGCCTTTCAGTGGCTGTTTGTTAGCTGATGCTCCTGGCAGAAATGATTATCAGACCCACTGTGCCCATCAGGCTTAGTGGGATGCAGATATCCTGTGAGGGACTGAAAAGGCCCAGCACAGAGCAGCCACCCCAGGATTGCTGAAGGGAGCATGCGTGCCAAGGGCACAGAACTGTCATAACCAGTGGAATTGAATTTAAATTAAGATTTTCAGCATGGAGTAGATAGTACTTGAGAGCCTTATTTTCTGCCTTTCCTGAGATACTCTCGTGTTTCTAACTTCCTTGGGCCACTGTCAGATATGCACATTCTGTGATCAGCACTGGAACAGCCAATGGTTGTCATCTTATTCCAGAATTGTTTTTTTTTTTTCAAATTAGATGAAATCTAGAAGATGCTTTTTCATTCTTTCTTGATATTAAAAGAGCCCATGGCTCCTGAGGATTTTATTAGAGGAATGAAAGATACTAACATTTGTTATTTGCCTCATTATGCTGTGTACTGACTTAGGGATTGTAAGTCTTACATTTCATGTATATGTGACAGCAGAGACTGTGATAATATGCACCGTTACTGCTACTTGCCAATGAGGTCCCATGTTTAGAGAAAGTGAGTTAAGGAAATTGCTTGAAACTAGATGATGGTAGTTAAGTAACTTTTAAAATCAGATGGCAGATAAACAACTAGAATTGAAACACACTTCTTTCTGACATTTCCTGAAGCATTTGCCCAATCTTTTCCCATGACACTAAACGATTTCAATTACATTTAAATTCCTAATACTTGTTTTGATTATAAAATTTATAAAGGGCACTTAACTAAATTCTCAAGTTCACAGACATACGCACACATACATACAAAGTAGTCAGAAATATTGAGAGTTTCAACAAGGGCCTACTGGTAAAGCTATTAAATTCCATTTTCTTTTCATGCATTTTTTTCCTTTCTACTTAAAATAAGAAACATTTCTCTGTGTGCATGTGTTTCCTTGTCAGTTTACGAAATCTAAAACTAATTTGGCTATCAAGAGACAAAAATCTGGGGCTCGTATTTGTCCTGGCAGTTGACACCCCGGTGTCTCACAGCACAATACCTTGCTTCAAGCCCCAACACCACTCCACCACTCCTGACTCCAGCCTCTTGCTAATGCAGAGCCTGGGGTGAGTGATGGCTGTGGTGATGGTCCCAGTAGCTGAGTCTCTGCCATCCCATGGGAGAACTCAATTGAACCCTTGGCTTCAGCCCTGGCCCAGCTCAGCCATTTGGGGGAGGGAAGAGCAAGTAGGAGCTGTCTCTCTGTCTCTTTCTCTACCATCCAACATTCTTTTTTAGAAAACCAAAAAAGCCTAACATGGAAATTGATCTTTTTTTTTATGCCATTGCATTTTGGCGATGGAAATGTAGCATGAAACCAGGGATGAGTCAGCCTTGAATATTCAACTTTCCTGCCACACCTGCTTACCTGATTAGCGTTTCTTAGAAAGACTGCTCCTCCTTGTTACTGTGCTAGTGAGTGTTTAAAATAAATTTCAGAGTTGTTATTCTGCCTTCTTGCTTCTCCAGGTAAAGGAAAGAGTCAGGGTTAAAAATTCTGATCCCAGAGTCAGATTTATATACATTTAACAAATGATCATTTCTGAGATGAGACCACTACCAAGTGTTAGAGCTCTGAGTAACTGATTTAATGCCGCATATCTAATGACAGATGTGATCATCTCAGAAATGAGCCAAGACAAAACCATGGTACAGGGTTTAACAAATGAAAATATTTCACAAGGAAGTTTCCTCCTCTAATAACAGCCGGCTCAGACACAACAACCTCAGAGGACCATGCCTGCTCCATATTCTGAGGCTCTAAGTAGCAAACCCTGACATGTTTTCCTTTGTGGGTACTGCAAAGGAAGGCAAAGTAAATATTATGTGGAAAACACTGATTGAAAGCTTTGTCAAAGAGAATAAAAAGACCAGCTGGGACGAAAAGGAAATAAACATCTCAGGGGAAGCCCAAGTGATCAAAAGAAGTATGAAAACAGGATAAAAAGAAAATCGATATTAAAAAGAGATAAGGTAGAGTGAGAAAACAAACAGTAATATGATTCCTTTCGTGAATGTGTCCAGACACAATAGAAATGTCAATCATGGGAAATAATGATAGCTGTTTCTGTTTAAATATCATGGCTGAGTCACTTGGGTACTGTCATGACCTGGGGAAGTTACTCAGGACACAGAATGACTAAGGACAGGTTACCTGCCAGGAGAGCTGCTTTTTCCCATTACACTGCAGAGTGAATTTGGCTCTTATTTCTAGTTTCTTTCTCAGATAGCAAGCCAATCATCATGATTTGGGGCAACCTACTTCTCAGCTGTGAGACTTTAGGGAAGCTATTAACCTCTCTGTGCTTTCCCTTTTGGAAAGAGCAGGACAATCCTAATGTTTGACACAAAGGAAGAAATACTAAGCTCTGAAAGAAGTGTTCAGCACTGCATCCTGCTGTTACTACACATCATCGTCGTGGCTCATGGGTAGGGGGAACTACCCTAGGAGCTTTCCCTAATAGCCAGGACTTAGGATCCTCTGTTACAATATAGCTAGAACACATGTCACCCTGCTGAAAAGGAATGTTGTCTCTAAGCTTCAGAGTCCCAAGTGTATGGCTCTAGGGCCTAGCCCTCCCTTCCCGTGCATGGACTTTATGTCAACAAGATTGAGGTGCATGAGCCAACTTGCCAGAATCCCAGTGCAGGCCCAGCTTCCGCCTCCTTGCCTGAAACAGGACAAGTGAGCATTGTTCACAGTTAATCCTCTTTTAGCCTGCTTGTGCACGTTGGCGCTGCTAGGGGTGATAGTCAAGGGCACGCAATACTAGAACCTTCTTGACCAGAGCTCCCAATGGCAAAGGCCTCCCCAGGTTCCCTAGGAAGGGAACCATCAGTACTCACTCACGGGTAGCAATGACTGGCTAGCAGCAAGGGCAGCAACGGACTGCAGTGGGCTGTATCATGTTGCTAACACCATAGGTATTGCAGGAAAACATTTCCAAGTTTGGCCATTTGGCCCCACTATGTGCTGTATAGTCACAGGGGCATTATCTCCTGCATGGAAGTTTACTGCCTGTTGCAACCATTTCTAATTTCCTTGGTTGCTATGTCTTACTATTCCCCCCTAAACTCTCTGGTATTGAGTGAATTATCTTATACCTTACAAAGAAACAGAAGAATCTTTGCTTCTGCCTTTCCAATCTTCATCTGAAAATGACCCTATTCTTCACCCAGCTGCACAAATCAACAGAAGCTTCCTCTCCAACTAACCCTTCCAGGCATCCTCCCAGGCCTCGGGAAGCTGGACTTAGGGGTTATTTCATCTGCCACATCTTCACTCTTCATAATCATGTTTAGATCTCCCATGATCCTTGTCTTGAACTCACCATCTCTTCTCACTGCTCAAACCCAGTAAATTCAATGTACCAGCCTGCTCCACTGCCTCCATTCTTTGTCTCTATAAATGCCTTTGTGGACTATGCTCAATGTTTCCAGTTTCTCTTGGATTCTTCTTCCTCTCTCAAAGCAATGAGAATAGCCATGCAAATATGAAACACTCACAGGGAGCAACTCTTCACAGACATTGGCATGTGTCCTTGCAGTGACCCCAGGAGTCCAACTGTATCGTTCTCATTTTCTGTGTAGGCAAAAGGATGTTCTGGATTTGAAATTGAGTGTGCTTCTACCAAAGCCCGCTCTAAGACTATAGGGATATTGCGTAAAAGCTAACAGAAGACAAATCCCTTCCACTGAAGAATCTAAAATTGAGTCTGATCATGTTGTTTTACTGGCCCAAGTCCTTCAGCCATCCCTTCCACTCCTGTCTTCTCAAGTCTGCACTGCTGGTCACAGGCCAGCGTCCCAGTACACAAGTCAGCCTGAAACATTGCTCTTTGCCTACTGGCCCTGACCTGCCACACTGCATCTCTGCTCTCCCTTATGTATAATACACATCTGCTCATGTGGCAGCCTGTTCATGAAGGACCAACCTTATTGTTATATCTTCCCAGATGGTTCAGAGTTCAGCAAACCTCCTCTCATCTCCCTCCCCAGGCCAGGCCACACTTTGTCCTCTCCATCTCGCCCACATTTCCCTGTGCCAATTTCCCTTAGCCTCTGAGCTTCAAGAAACTCTCAGAGCCTCCATCCCTTTTAGACCAACCCATTAGAATAAAATGATGAAGAAATTGATCAACCATAGAGTGCCATGTTTAAGAAACAGGAGTGGTATCTGAATATAAATGTGAGCATAGATCGTGGAAATAGCAAGGCTATTATATTATAGTCAGGTAGGACCAATCCGTGGAGGATCTTCTATTTTGGCACAAAACACCAGGAATTCAGTGTGGGGTGTTGTTACTAAGTTGGAGCCAGCAGCCTGACTGCTTAGGCAGCAACAACATGCATGCCTTTCCAGAGTGCTGGACACCTACGGGCCACTTAAATATTCTCTTGATGCAAATAGGGAGGAGGCTAAGGAGAAGGAGGAGCTGGTTGCTCTCCCTCTGTGAGCCAGTAACAAAGGAAACAGGATGCTGGGTCTATTTAGGGAAGATTTCTCTCTCCAGGCAAAGGTTATGTGCAAGGATGTGGTTACTAAGAGAGCAGTGGGATCTCTTTCCTTAGTGACCCTGAACAATTGGTACATTGTTGTACTGGCAACTGTGTACACATGCTCAGCCTGGGGAACAGTTTTCCCTTTGCTGACTCTCTTGCCGGAATTCAGGGCTGCGGATCAATAGGGTTACTGTATGGCCAAACTCTAGTCCTACAGGAAGGCACAGGTTCCAAAATAAAAGGGTGCAGTCATAATACTTGCATTCCTAACCATTTGAGCTCATGGTTCTCCAAACCTTAATAACCTAACACAGGCAATCTGATGGTGACACCCAACCTCCAGGACTGCTCCCCACCATAACATGCAGTCAGCCTTCATGAGGCAGGGATTTCTCTCTATTTTATGCTAAACATATTGGATAACAAAAGTTGAACGTGGTCAAGTGCAGAGGTCTGGAAGCCAGACTCAGTCTGAATCCTGGTTCTCACAGTCTGAACTAGCATTGAGCCCCTGGGTAACTGGCATGGGGGTTTTGTACCTCAGTGTTTTCATCTGTAAATAGGGATATTGCTTGTGCTGCCTTTTGTGGTTAATACTTTCCTATTTAAATACCTGATACACCAAGATACATAGTAATTGCTGAAAACTGATTATTTGGGTTTTTTAAAAAACGAAAAAGTTCAGATCATGTCCTTCTCAGAAGTGTGTTTGTTGCCAAGAAGATGTTTTACTCTTGAAAAAGTACTTCTGTTGATGCATTCTTTTTCCAAGCCCTGAGTAACAGCAAGTGAGATGCCATGGATTTGCCCAGCAGAATTTCTTGCTGCTCTATTTTCATAAAGGCCGGCTCCACAGCTAGACTGCATACATGCTCTTAGGAGAGCACACTTCAGAAAAATGTTTTTATTTTTGTTTTTTTTAAGGGTGATCCTTTTAATGAGTAAATGACTCAGAAGTGATTCCCTAGCAAGAATTCCCACACTTCTGTACCTTTGGGTATAATATGACTTCTGTCACTGGGACTGATCAAGGGCAAGTTAACATGAAGGAAGGTGCTGTACTTGACTTGGATGTATGCAAAAGGGTGTTTGTCAAAGTGCCTATAAATACCTATTTTTGCTCCTAGGGAAAACTCGGGTTTCACGCCAGCGGATACAGTGGCTATCATTTTCTGTTCTACACACAAATCCCTCACGTTGGGTAAGTGATTCACAGAGATGAAAACCATACCCTGCCCTCCTTTAGCTTCTGCTTGTGATTTTGAAATGTAAGGAGTTCTTCAAATTAGAGGGAATGGTTAGAAAAATAGCAATAGCCATGTAAAGGTAGGTCATCATTTGAAATACTGCAATTTCATTAAACCAGGTGATGAGGGCCTCAGCTAAAAGTGTGGGTTTAGTTTAATTTGCAGTAATGGTTTCCATTCTCATAAAGGATTGCCAGTGTAAAGTGTTAATGCTAGCACTGGGGTAAAGGGCCAGAATGGAGAGATTTGGAGATTGCTTCTGAAAAGAACTGGAAAAAAATATTCGCTTTTGGAAAGTTCTAGAATTACCTCTAAAAAATGTTAACTTGTTTTTCTCAAAGCAAGGTGGAAATAATATTATCATTCTAATTTGCTATCGGCATTAATCTGAGGTTGTTTTTCAAATGTTGGATGATTTCTACAAAGAAATAGTATAATTGTCAGTAGTTCAATGGGATTAGCACTAAAAAATGAAATAAGTATTTACTTAATAGACAAAATAGGCTACGAAGATAAGTTCTATTTTCTACTTTCTTATATCCAGTTTAGTGGCTTTATCACAATAACCTGTTAAACAGCCCAAGTCTATGCAGGTATTCATAAAGAACTATTGAGTAACCAGAAACCTGATTGAATTCCACATCTTTCATAGCCTCCTTAGTGTGAAGACATCTCCTGGCAGAAAGTTACATGAGACCCTTCCTGTTTTGACATGTGATTCATTTAAGAGAGTGAGCATGACACGATTCTAAGTCACTTTGAGGAAATTACCTCTATAATCTAGAAAATGAAGTCATTTCATCCTGTTTTTCGCTCATCTCAAATATATTTGTCAGATAAGAGTGTTTCATCAACCTTGTCACATTTGCAAAATGATTTAGAAATGGGGCAAACTTTTTAAGGAGCAGTTGTTATCTAGGACTTTTAGGGATAAATTATGTATACACTATTTATGCATTGCAGTCTGTTTGATTTTCTCTCTTATCATCATCAAATTAAAGTTGAAGGAGCTTTGGGAGCCATATTCCAATCGTGATTCTCTGAACTTGGACAGTTGAGTTCATCATCCTGTAACTTAGATTTCCATACATAATATTAGCAGAATAATACTTTACATGGGTACTGACTGATTTCATTGTGGAGAATGATTATTTCGCTGTGAAGACTACAGATTAAATTTGCTAGGTACTTAACCAACATTTAGTGAATAAAAAGTGTCAAAACATGACCAAACAGGTATAATGATTGTTCTGTACATATTTGCTGTGAACTAAATGAATGGTCAACTTAGAAGGTCTGCAGTGCTACCTGGTACACAGCAGGCAGTCTGTAAGCAGCAGGTATTATTATTCATCTTTGTTAGCAATCATTTTACTATGAGACACACTTCCAAGATTCTCCTTCCCTGACCCCTGTCTTACAGATTTTCACTCAACAATTTTGATTTAGTTGATAGCCTCAAAAGAAAAAAAAATAATCTTGCACTTCTTTCACTTGTGTCGTATTATGATGTGATGTCAGGTGTCTCAAATCTTCTAGAACCTAAAGGACTTCTGTAAGATTAGGGAGTCCCTAGTCAAGTGCTGCCAGACACTTTGGAAGTGCAGAGAGCCGGGGCAAAGTAAGGCCATGGCTCTGTAGCAACCTACTGAACTGTGGCACACAGAAACGCTGCATGTCTGTCGCAGGCTCTCCAGCCTGAGGCAATCCTGGGGGTTTGCTCTGGACAGGAAAACCAAAATGGCTGTTTTGTTGTTTTCTGTGATGTTCTTCTGTGCTGGATAGAGCTGGCTATATGGAGCAGAGTGTAAGAAGCATCACTGTGCACTGGAGTGCAATCAGTATTGTCTTCTTTACAAGAAGCAAAAATACCTATCCAGTGGCTATTAGTTTTCTTTCACTGTGTACGTTTTCATTTATCTTAATCCCACAGCGGTGCTCTTCTGTTCTTTATGCTTTCTATAAGCTAACTTCCAGGAAAGCAGATCACTCAAACACCAATCAAAAGTAGTTATTTTGTTTTAAAAAAAGGAGGCGGGAGGTTGGGTTAGCTTGGATTTTTCTTGACTTTTGCAATGTTCTACCATGAAGTAGATTCTTAGTCCATCAGTAAGAATCTCCAGCAAGGTACTAGTGTGCCACCAAGGAACCATGGCATAGGAGTCCTTGGTTAATGCAGGAGCATAACGGATTTGAACTCCCTTGGAATAGTCGGACTTAAATCCTCTAGCTGGCCTCAGTTTCCTTACTTTGAACATTTTATTTCCACTATTCCTCAAAGGTTCTATCACACTTTGGTATGCCTAGCTCCTCTCCAATAGTCTCTTAGGTACTATTGATAAAAATGCCCTCCTGGCTGCTCCCTTTATCTCGGAGGGAATACCCTTGTTTCTGCAGTTAACAAACAATGCTTGGATGCCACTGCTGGCAGGGATTTGTCAAGCCCTATAAATTTGCTGTAGTCATCTTTATGAGATGCAGTGCATGCTTTCACTGTTTATGACCTGACATCACTGGTCCAGAGCATGTACCACAACAGTGACCTGAGCTATATACACTGATCATTATCCTAATAGAAATTCTTATCTGAATGAAAATGGAAGGCTATCACACGGAGTGGGAGGAATTTTTATGTCAGAAAGTAGGGGGAGGTTTCGCGTGCTTTCTCTTGGGGTGATATTGTCTTCACCTCTCACACAGGGAGAGAATACAACAGATTATAATGTACCTCTTTGGTACGTTAGAAGTATATTTTCCTTTCCTTTTTTGCAATCACTGTTGTAACACTTCTTCCAGTAATTTTACACATATCTACATATCTTAACATTTGAGTAGAGTTCATTAAAAGAAACTAAAAAGTTCCATTCATTATTATGTCCAGTATTTGTATTTTAAGAATAAATCATTTTGGGCCGAGTAAAACCCATGAAGCTAACAAAGCAGAGATGAAGACTCTTGCTCGAGAAGCTTTCTGAATAGTCTCATATATACACCTTCGATTTATTTTATTGTTCTTGCTTTTGCCCTGTCTCACTCTCTTCCACGTGCTTGCATCCACACACATACTGAATTTGATTCATTGCTTTTATTAGTGCATTTGCCATTGATTGATTAGTTCTTCGTATTAGTACTTTTTCTATTGATTGATTGCAGATGAAGTGACTATTTGACCTTTAATTATGAGGCTTCCTATTGGAAATGACATTGAGCTATGGCTTCACATAATCCATCTGGAAAGCCTGACATGATGCCATTCCCTGGAGTTCGTTCAGGAAGAGAGGAGGCCCGAGGAAGTGCAGCACTATCGCTGTGCCTCATCTAAAACAATACTACAGGGCTTGTTTACTGCTCTCACATAGTTTCGACTCAGCCTGGCAGGGAGGTTTATATTTTGTCAAGACAGCATCATTGGCTGAGAGCTGCCAGAAAGCCGTGAACTTTCTCAGATTATTCCCTCGTTTGATGATGATTTGTGTGGAATCATGAAAAGATACTTTACATAGAAATTGAAGAGCAGTTAGCCCCTTGGTTAGCAGTGGCTCAGTGGAAATTAGATCCAAGATATCCTTCAGAATCTGTACTTTCATTTTATTGTTGAATATTTAAGTCTGTTTGCATATCTACAGCTGTAACAAACACCAAAAGCTTTCCCCCATTACCTAAAGAAAATTTTCAGGATGATCAAGGAAATTAAGTAGACTGTATTTCATGGTTTAAAATAGCAAAAGGAAAGTACATCATCTTTTAACATCTCAACTATTCACAGTCAAGAGTAAGACTCCTGGTTTTTTTATTTGCAAAAGCAATTCTGAATTGAAGGAATACTATTTAAATTTTAAACACAGTTTCATGATCAGCACTTGCTACAAGTTCACTCTGTGTCCTACAACCTGTAAAAACAGATGCAAAAGACAAAGTAGCAATTCCTTGTGGTCTTTATGTTTCACTATGGGTTCATGCTCAAAGTTACAAAACTGAATGTGAGAAGGAACTGCACATTTAGCTCAAAAAGTATAGCTTTTTTTAAAAGGGAGGGAAGGGAGAAGCAGAAGATTCTATCATCTGGTGGCCAAGACACACGCTTGCATCCTCCAGTGCCTAAGTTTGACTCCCATTGCTGGTTCCTGGCTCCAGCTCACTATTGATGCAGACTGTGGGAAGCACCAATGATTGCTGATGTAATTGGGTTTCTGCCACTCACATGGGAGACCTGGATTGAGCTGGTGGCCCAGCTCTAATGTGAGAGCCATTTGGAGAAGTTAACCAGCTCTGGTTAACGAGCTCTGGTGTCATCTCTCTTTCACATTTATGATTGTTCCCGTAAAAAAAAAAATCTACTCTGATGTGGCACAAAACTTAAAGTGGGTTGTGCTAGCCCTACTTTCATGAGTAGCATTGTCTACACAACATTCCTACAGACTGAGGCACAGTGTTATCTAACAACAGCTGTTTGAGTAGGAGTTGAAATCCAGAGGACAAATAGAAGACTACCTTTAAGGTGTCGCCGTAATATATGTCTGTCCGACAGTTTCCTTTGAGATTTACCATTCTGCAAGCAAATGTAGAGTAGTGACTTCTGACATTTACAGATGACTAAAGATACCATTAAAGTTATAGGCCCATGGATTTCACTACCATGTGAACAGAAGTGAAGGAGGGGTGGGTACTTCGCCCGGCAGTTAAGACATGAGTTAAGATGCCTGAATTCCATAGCAGAGTGGCTAGATTCAACACCCACTTCTGACTCCTGCCTGGAGCTTCCTGCTAACGTTGGAGAATCTAGATTGTTGCCTGGCTCTGGCTTCACTCCGGCCAACCATTTTGAGTAGATGAGGAATAAACCAGCACATGGCATCTCTCCTCTCCTGGAGGGAAGTAGGAAAGAAGGAAGGAAAAGAGAAAGAGACTATCATTTTGTTTTGTGCTTTCTAAAAAAAAGGAAAAAGTTCTCTCA